GCTTCGCGAAAGTGAATATTTGGAGTCGCTAACCTGTCCAAAAGTTATTAAATTGAGGAATTCGAAACTGGTCATATTGTTAGCATTATGTTGGCATGAGCAAAAAAATAACCCTCTGTTTAATTGCGGTTAGTTCTTATGTGTACTGGCAGCGCATTAAATAAAGTAGAAATGCATAAAATATCTGACTGAGTCCAGTCTATTTCAAATTTGCGGTTTTTAAAATGACATACGTAGGTCAAAACAATAAATCAAACCAAATGACAAAACAAGCATTAAAATGTAAACCAAAATTAGTTGCATTTATGTACTACTTCTTCTTCTTGTGTGTCTTATGCTTTCGTCTTATGTTCAATGTCACGATGTTCATGTCATCACTTTCACCCTGTGTCGAGTCTTAAAATTAATGTAAATACAACGAAATTTATGCTTGAAACGTTACAACTTGGCCTTAAAAAGTATTCGGATAGTTTATTCATTTCCTTTTCTCTCTCTTTTGCTGTTAGCTCTAATCCCAATCAGACTAATCCCTTGATTGACTGCCTGATTCATTGATGAAATGATTGGCAAATTTTCCAGCTGCTCATTTGTTTCGTTGCTTGCTTGAGTGTCGATTAAATGACCTTGCTTCGCAATCGATAGTTTTGCTAAACCATCTTAGATTGGTTCCATCCGAGTGCAAAGCGATGCCATACCACCAGTTTTTAATACTTATTGGTCTAATACTCGCCTATGGCCGGCCCCTCGTTACCATGACAACTGGTTGCCATTTGCAACACAACCCTTCCTTCTAGCAATCTTTAGCTCGCCGTAGGAGAGCAAAAAATTGTGATGCTATGAAGTTTAGTTGCAGCTTCCCGTAAAAGTGAAGTGGAATAAAATGGGAAAAGTAAAGAGCAAATTGCAAATAAGCTGATCAACACGTGCGTTTTATCCGCGTCTCCATTACATCCTACATCTCCACACCCCACTTCCTAATGCTTACTTCGCCATCCTACGCCCACTTTTCCTACACCTTCTTTCCTCATCTACGTCTGGCATCCCCTTCACCATTCACAACACCTCTCCTCCTCACAAACATTCACTGCTGTCTCAAGAATCAGATAGCATGACATAATGACATAATGATAGTCTCGGAAAGAGGGATTTCCAGACAAACTTGCAATTTTACATTTGAGAAAAGATGAACAATTTTAAGGAATTTTAGCTTGCATTTATTCCTCTACGTGGTCCCCCATTACAATCAATTACAATGTTTGACCAATATTTTCGAAACAATAAAGAAGGAATCGCCTGCAGGGTAGAAGCGTTCCAGGACAGGCTACTTCACCGCGTCATTCAGCCCTCTTGTTTTGGTCAAAAGCAGAGGACTCTGTTCGTACCGATTGTGGGCAGATTACCCTTCTCGATTCGCGAATATTTATGAGTAAATGTGGTCATCGTTCTCGTAAGA